TGGGTTGAGTGCTGTACCTGCTTTCATAACATGCCGCGCCTGACAAGCTCCACGCACAAAATAGCAACACTTGCAGTGCTTGCAGTGACCATTGACGTTTTAAAATCTAATTTGGCTGTCGACAGCCATAAAACCAAAAAAATCGTCGAGCACCAAAACAAAATCACAAATCGTCTGGAAACACCGTGGTAAGACTGCGAGAAAGTCGAGAATCGCCGTTACTAAAACTGGCTGTCGAAATCAATTTGAGCGCAACGGCGTTGAACGTGAACTGGGGTTGAACATTGAAATTGCCTTACAGCGGAAGAAGCAGCATATAAGTAGCAGCATATAAGTGGCCTGTAGTTAGCCTAGTCTGCAGCAAAAGTACTGCAGTCACCGCGTGTGCAGTTTCGCGTAATTCTTTAAACTTTGTCGTTAAAGCTTTGCTTCCAACATGCTCATTCATTTTTTGTAGCAAGCGCTGGTACACTACCTAATAGTTAAAAATTTAAAATTAATTAGTTAAAAATTGCTTCCAACTAGTTAATTTGGCGCAGTTTGCCTCAAAAGACTTTTGCTTTTTCGTTTTTACGACTTTTGCTTTAAAGGTAATAATTCTTGTCGGTCGACGGATCTTCTTGTTTATGCACAGAAACTATGTGTTTCATAAATGATTACGTAACAAGGTTTGCAGAAAAACTTTGATACTCTATAACGGCTACATGGATCGAAATCGCTTTTTAGGTTATGTGGCGAGGCGACCAATGTCGGTCGACCGACAAAGCTTTCGCTTTAGATGCATTATCTTAACATTGTTATTTGCATCGAACGGTGATAATTTCATGTTGGTTAAGAAAATAAAATTTAGCTTATGCTATCGCCAACATAGACGGCTAACTTAGATACAAATTTTGATGTTGATGTAAAACTTGATTTCTACTCGGCTGCCAAAACTATGCCGACGATATATTTTGTGATAGATTGCGGAGATGTTTGGTCATTTTGATGTACTTTAGAAAATACATTTTGACGAGGGTATTGTAATGGTCATGATTTACACGACATTGTCAGTTGTTAGTTAACGCATTTCAACGAAGTATATTATTATATATACAATCCTAACTCCGTCTTTTCTTTTTCTCCCTTTTCCTCCAACAGTGTCCGGCGCAGAATTTCGTTCGATAGCTTAAAAAACGGCTAAATCCTGTAGTTTGTCCCTACAACTTTAGTTTTTCGATCTTCTTTTCCTTGGAATTACGAAACATGACCAAAACGAATTTCGCTGATTGGCTTATCATAAAGTAATTATTAGTGGATTGGCGGAAATGCGTATATTTTCGAACGGAAACTGCTGACACAGCGTGGCAAACTGGGACATAAAAACTGCGGTACATCAGTAATCAATAAAATTTAATACTCCTGTTTGTCGAAATTTTGTAATTGGCAGAGCATAGTGCAATTTTGTAATTGGCAGAGCGATAGTGCAGTATGATTTCTTTAGCGGAAAGAGGAAAGGGCAACAGTATAGCGCAATCAACTGTACGGCAACAGGTTACGTATAACCGCAAAAATCATTACTGCCGACTGCGTATCAGATTTTGGAAGAAAGTTACTTCGAAGTTCCAAGCACCAAATTTCATGAAACTAGTTTGCGTAATTTTCCTGCTTATTTGTACAGTGGCTTCGATTTTTGGACGTGACATTCTTATTTTTAAAAAATCGCCGTATGCTAGTGATTATTAGTAGAGGAAGAATTATTTGTTGAGTAAATTACTAGTATTATTGACTTTTAATTACTCTACAGATTAATCGAAGAGTGGTGTTTTGGTGCTCCTCCATTTCTTCCTGAAGTCATATTAGCACATGAAATAAATTTCGTTATGCGGACATTCACTCGCGGCATCAGGCTGGACTTTCGCCATCCCATTGTTGCTTATATGGTTCCGTAAAGGCGTAAACTAAATAACAGTTCTATCGACAATTTTATTAACTAATTCCTTTCACAGAAACGTTTTTCCTTTAACACAAAACAAAACTCTGCACTCAGTTTTGGAAACAAAAAAGTGATACTTAGAAATAAGGAATAATATATCTACTATTAGAAATAAACAACCTATAATAATAATGAATAGTAATACTGATAATAATAAAAATCAGTATTTATAATAATTGCCTCGAAAACCGATGGCTCAGTTAACACGCGTGAACACCAAATGCAAAAAAAACATGTCAAATTAAAAACATTTTAGCAAGTAGACGGATTTACTCATTGTTTCAGACGGAAATTTCGGCATTCTGATGGCTTTTTAAAATAAAGTCAATTCGGCAAGGGAAAGTTTAGCATGCGGACCGAGCGGCAATAACTCATGTTTCAGGCGGGAATTTCTGCATTCTACGAGTAGTGGGTTTGTAAAATAAAATCAATTCGGCAAGAGAAATTTTAGCATGCGGACACAGCAGCAAAGAATTTTGGCCGGTTGAACAGAGTTAGGGATTTTCGCCGGCTAGAAAAAGGGGGAGGGATTTTCGACGGTTAGACAGATGGGTAGGGATTTTCGCCGGTCAGACAGAGGGGTAGGGGTTTCCCCCAGTTAGACAAATGGGAAGGGATTTTCGCCGGCTAGACAAAGGGGGAGGGATTTTCGACGGTTAAGCACGGGGGCAGGGATTTTTGCCGGTTTGAAAGAGGGGTACGAGGACATTTGGGTGCTGTGAACATACCCTGCACGATTAGGCTGCGATGAACAGCTGGTTAGCCGTAGCTCGCAACGCTACAGTCTGAATGCAAACGGCTATAAATTTAGCCGGCTGTTCATCGCAGCCTAATCGTGCAGGGTATGTTCACAGCATCCAAATGTCCTCGTAGGGGTTTTCTCCGGTAAAACAGAGGGGTAGGGGTTTTTGCCGGTCTGACACAAGGGTAAGGATTTTCGCCGGATAGACTGAGGGGTAAGAATTTCCGCCGGTTAGACAAAGGGACAGGGATTTTCGACGGTTAGACAGAGAGGTAGTAGCTCGTTAGTTCATCATATTACACTAAAGTTTGCTAATTAATAATTTTTCGATCGAAACTGCTAACTCGTAGCATAACATTATGTGAGCGGCATGTTATTTAATTGGCGGAAAGAAGGAAAGGATAACTGTACTTTAACGGGAAAGGTATATACAAAGACTAACATAAGTACGTATTATTAAAAAGAAGGGAATACGATGAGCATAATAAATGTCCCTGTAATGTGCAAATTCCTATAATTTTCTACGGTATTTTTGCCGGTGAGACAGGGGGGAAGGGATTTTCGCCGGCCAGAAAGAAGAACGGAGATTTTCGCCGGTTAGATAGAAGTACAGGGATTTTCGTTGGTCAGATAGAAATTCAGGGACTTTCGCCGGTCAGATCGAAGTATAGAGATTTTCGCCGGTCAGATAGAAGCACAGGGATTTTCGCCGGTTGGAACAGAGGGGTGTGGATTTTCGCCAGTCAGATAGAAGCACAGAGATTTTCGCCGGTCAGATAGAAGTACAGGGATTTTCACCGGTTAGAACAGAGGGGTAGGGATTTTTGCCGGTCAGATAGAAGCACAGGGATTTTCGCCGGTTAGAACAGAGGGGTAGGGATTTTCGCCGGTCAGATAGAAGGACAGGGATTTTTGCAGGTCAGATAAAACTACAGGGAGTTTCGCCGGTCAGATAAAAGTAGAGGGATTTTCACTGGTTAGAACAGAGAGGTAGGGATTTTCGCCGGTCAGATAGAAGTACAGGGATTTTCACCGGAAAGAACAGAGGTGTAGTGTGGTCAGGGAGAAGAGGAGGGATTTGGCCGATATGTTATTAATAATTTTTTTGGCTGATATGTTATTTGACTCAACCTTTGCAAACGACGATTTACACGAAACAAAATTTGCACTTTCAACCGTCTACCTAAATAACTAACTGACTTAGCTGAATTTTATCGCATTGAGTACTTAATGATTGCATTAATGATTGCATTGAGTACTTAATGGCGACAGTGACAAATTCAAAACAAACGGCATTTCCGATCCAGATAAATTCCGTTTCTTAATTCTTTACAAAACTACCACATTACTTTCTTCAATTCTAAAAATTCTCAACCGAGGCCGGAGGCCGAGGTTGAGCTTGTAATTATAGTAGTGACTAGAGAGTCTGTATTAATGTTGATGTATCAGTTTCCTTTACAATGGACCTTATCCCGTTGCCTCTCGAATAATATTAGCTTTTTCGTCGAGCACGCTTCGCACAATCAGCCTCATTCCAAAGCGTCACGCTTCAGGTCTTGTAGAAGCAACATTTTGATTATTCAAGGACTTTTGTTAAACAGAATCAATAGACTGTTATAAAACTGAATTTATCAGTCAATATTTTACACGGTTCGAACTGTGGACCGCGCTAACAGCTAATCCACATGGCGTTTCTGGAATTCGGTTCCAAACTGAGTAATACTGTTTTACTTGCACTAACGTTTACTTGTTTTTTATTCGCTTACTATATATGCAATTTAGCAGATAAGTAAGTACTATACTCCACTCTAGCTATCATTAAGCAATATATAATTAAGGGCTTAAATTACTTAATAATGTGGCTAATAATGCTGTATGTTGCTTATCTCATGGTTGCCTTGGCAAGTGAACTAGAGACTATACGGCAGTGTCAGTAACATTACAGTTTAGGGATGATTAAAAATTTTTTCACGTATGAATTTGATCAAGCCTTCTAAATAAAGCATATTGCACTTAGTTCTTGTGTCAAAAATTTCATTCCCAACCTCACTGGATGGATAAGACGGCGTAAAATACTAGCATGTATGCATTTTTGACATTAAGAAACTAACACTTCGACTCTGAAGTATGATCTTACAGAATTACACAAACACCGGAACAACAAATCTGTGTAATGTTATGGCCTACACACGCTAATTTCTAGTATTTACTATTTATTTACACTGATGTAAAGTAAAACATAATTATTTGCTTTGCTGTATAACACAAATATAAACAGCTATAGTCACTGCGGACAAAAAATTTTGTAATAAAAGTCTGTGATAGAGCGATGTTGCAGGCTAATGTAACTACTCGTTCGTCCGCGCGTACAGGAATCTTATCTTCTAAGTACCACGATTCCCATCCTTGGAAGCATTTGTCTCCCAGGAGCACTTCTGTTTCCGCACCGGACCTAGCCTGTAGCAGTTTCCGTCGTCCCTCGCAGTTCTCGTATTTCCACGTTGATTCTCGTTGGCCTTCGGTACCACCCGAGAGCACCGCTTCCCTGGGTAGTCTGACAGCAGCACCTCGTCGTCAGCTTACCCCTGCAAGTGAAGACGAGGAAGAGGAAGTAAGTGCGAAGAGTTCTGCAAAGCTGTCGCCTGAAGGTGACCAACATACTCCGTTAACATTGAAAGAAAGCGTGGCTTTGCATGCTGGAAAGGTCAAGAGCCAGCTTCACGCTGAAGACACCGACAGCAGGCTCATTTTGGCGGATATGAAGGAAAGCTTAACGGGATTTTTCAAAGTGCTATGTAATCCAGGAGAAAAATGGGACACCGGTCTGAAAGTACGAACTGGGGGACCGCTAGAAATCGCAAAATCATGGCGATTGAAAGATTTGGAAAAGAAGATGTTAGAAGATCCTTTTCTCCACTAAACAGATATATGCATTTTCCGTTTCATGAACTGCAAAATTACGCTTCCTCTTCTGTTGGATTATTTGGGGCAAAATAGCCTAAATGCAAATATCCAGTCAAAAATAAAAAGAGTTTGCAACTGCCACGTTTCTAAACGCAACGCCAGGTAACTACAAACTGCAGATTGCTAATGAATAATGGTTTATAACCTGATTTGTGTTACGTCTTGTCTTTTATAGTTTATTTATGCTGCTTAGCCTTCTGTGAAATTTCCGGAATTCAGCTAAACAGAAATCTTGGATTTATTGACTTATAAGATCATAAATTCTGAATCATACTACACATTTGCACATTTTCTACCCATGCCGATAAGAAGAAAACAAACCGGTTCAGCAACCAATTGTAGCATGACGAGCACCCGTTGCTTCTGTTAATTTCTTGACGTTCCGGACCAAATATAAAGCATACACGCACTTAATTTCCACTTCTTCAATACCTTGCAACCGACCACAACGGTATAAGTACCGCCATCGTCGCATTATATTAAATTTTTACATTATTTAGAATGGGGTCTTTGCAGCTTCTCTCGTTAACGGTGGGTTTTACAATCAGCTGGACACTGACTTTTGCAGGTAACTTTGAACCGCCAATTTCGAAAAGTAACACGTATTGTGATTCAGTATTTGGCCAGTGAATGCACGCGTTGCTACTAGCCTACTGCAGCTAGTCTCAAAGTTTTTAACAAGTGTGAGTTCGATGCTGTAATAAGTTTATTTTTCACAGCTGCTACCACTAAGCCATCAAAGTGCGAATGCTGGGATATAGAGGTGAAAGACACACTGGCCCATGTATGCGGAACCGATGGAAAACAGCATCAGGGTCCGTGTTGGGCTGAATGCTCAAGTAAATTTTACCGATCAACGGATGAAAAAAAAGCTTTGCAAAAGTATTCTAATTCAAGTTGTATCATGTAAGCCGCTTCGTTTCTTAACGTATAAAATACACAGCTTCATTGTAGTTTTATCTCTGCATATCAGGTGTTGTCCCGGCGTATTACGGAAACTGCACGTCCAAAGTAAAACTCAGCCCGAGTTGCAAGAAATGCAACGATACATACGATCCAGTTTGTGCCACTGACGGGATCAATTATAACAATCCGTGCTCCGCCCGCTGTGCCGGTATGTTTTTGTCCGTAGTACTTAATCTATATTCATTCCTGCTAATCATCACAGGATGTTAGTTATCCGGTATGTTAGGTCGTCTTATGCGGTATGTTAGTTATAAAAACGAAAATGTTGTTTAATTACTGTACTTTGATTCCCATTGTAGGAGTTGAAATCGTCAGCTATGGTCCTTGCTCGAATCAAAAGAACGCCGATATTAAATGTATGTGTCCAAAGAAAGTCAATCTAACCGATGCCGTATGTGGAGCGGATGGCGAAACTTACGGAAACGAATGCTACGCAAAGTGTAAAGGTAATAATGGCTAGCCGGACGGCGGCACTGGCTAGCATCTGTACGACAGTGCGCTTTTGAATTGGCTTTTAATTACATTCAAAATTGGTTAAAAAATATCTTATATGTAGTTTTTTATAAACCTTAGGCTGTAAACTAACTACTGTACTTGTATACAATACATCAAAGTCGTTTTTCCACGCATTATCTAATCGCAAATCTTTAAGGCACTACGGTGAAAAGCGTTGGTCGGTGCCCTTTTCCCAAACTGGCGTCCTGCATGTGCGGCTTCGATGATCGAAAGATCGTCTGTGGACAGCAGCGCCGGGAATTTTCCAATTTATGCTTTGCTGCTTGTGGAAGTACGTTCAAAAACATTATTTTGATAAATCCAAGCGACAGTTTGTGCGTCTTCATTACCCCTACATACATGAATAAACAGCTGTTTTCTGTATTTGCTAGTCTGATTCCTATTTCCTGACTGTCATAAATAACAACCTGTATAAAAATCAACTGAACTTTTGATTAAACCAATTTAAATAAGTAATTAATCAAGAAAGTAATTTAAAAAGCTGAACTAAAGGAAATACTAACATTTTTTTGCGCTATTATCAGTTATAATAAGTATGTTACAAACCCTTGCCATTACAGAATCCGCCCCCATTCACTACGGAGACTGTTTGGGAGTTCCTCGGATGGTTACAAATAACTGGATGCGATGGGCATCTTACTCTGTATGCGGAGCTAACGGGAAGGAATACGGCAATATGTGTCAGGCAAATTGCAAAAGTCAGTGGGTTTTCGTACTACTTATTAAACAAAACTTTAATAAATTTTTTTGCGAAGCGGCTGAAGAGCCTACTCTACTTTTGCAGAAGTGAAGATTCAGAGCCAAATTTATTCCGAATGTGGCGGAAAAAATAGGACATTATGGTAACAGAATATCTTACTAGAATCCGTGGAAGGTGTTAAAAAAACGTACAATTCATGCAAATGGATGGATTTTCTAGAGTACACCTTTTCGGTGCTCGTAACAGGTGCAACTGCAGAAAAATCTTATTTTGTGGTTTATCTTTGTATGTTAATTTTGTGAATTGTGCATCTGCATACTCAATATCTTGGTCAATTCTTTTTGCAAGCTCATAATAAACTTGCTTTTGCGCTTTCATAACCATTCTGTGTTTTACATAATTTGCCTCTTTCTTCATCTGAAAACTTGAATATCGGGCTCAAAATTTATTAAATGGGCTGCTGATTACTGTTGGTTACGAGTTTTGGCATCTGTAAGCCTTGTAAAAAAAACCTCCCGGAATAATGTCTGGGCATCGGTGCGTTGACTAATCGATGCACATGTTAGTTGAAGATCGGAAATTTTTGACTAGTGAGTTACACTGCCTATCGTCTTGTAGGTACATATACGTACTAAAAGTCGTACTTTATGCATATCTATATAATAATTACCGCACGAAAACAACTAAACCGGTTTAAAAACCAGCGCAGTGCACTAACCAACGTCTTGTTATCTAATAACATTTAATTACGTACGAATCTAATTCACCTTCCCACAAGTAAATACTACACCGTTAGGATGACCTTTCACATTTACACCATTCCACGCGTATAATCGAGCGGGCTCGCTTCGCTCGCCCGCGTTTTTTTCAATATAAGCACTTTGAGGTTTTAAGACACGGCGACCTTGACCTTCTGGTTCCTCACACCCCGAAATTGCGGTTCTAAGACACGGCGACCCTGACCTTTGGGTCGCTGTGTGACCTTTGTGACCTTAAGGTTCCCGACACAGCGAAACTGCGGTTCTAAGACACGGCGACCCTGACCTTTGGGTCGACGTGTGACCTTTGTGACCTCCGAAACTGCGGAAGACACGGCGACCGTGACCTTTAGGTCGCGGAGTGACCATCTGCCCTTTACGTTCCCGAAATTTAAAACTGTTCTTAAGACTGGGCGATCGTAAACGCTGGGTCGCTTTTCAATCCAAAGTTTTCATCTTTCTTATACTTACGAGATTTAACAACAGTTCGGAAACTTAGCCCACACTAAATTTAGAAGTAAACTTTTTTAGTATTTCAGAAGAATTTTGAATGTTTCAAAACATTTCGAAACTATCCTGAACGGTATAAAAAAAATCAAAATTATCATCGAAAACATTTTTAATACGTTAAAGTACGTTAAAACGTTTTTAAATATTACGATGAAACATTTATAAATACGTCGAATTTTTTTTACATTTGTTTGAACATATTTGTTGTATCCTCGGATGTTAAAACAGACTTCATTGTCCTAAATACTTTTAATCATTTTTGAACTTTTAAATCAAACAACTATATCTCAAAAATCTAACCAATAAATATTTACATTCTTGGCCATTTATGTGGTCAAGGTTTGCCGTGTAGCAATTGGATTATTTCTCAGGTCTCCAATTACGATAGAAAATTAGGCTGGCCGAAACGTTTAAGTACGTGAAGCCAACGATTTCTCGATTACTCTGATTTTACTTGTCAAAATAACATTTACCAATGTATTAAATTTCTTGGTCTGAATGCTTGGTTTTATGCTTGGCTTGAAGAGGTTAGTATTACATTTGCACACTAGAAAACATGGTACATGGCAGCCTTTTTTATCATTTGAATATGCAGCGTCTATATGGCGATATATTCCAGATAAAAGATTGATATGCTGCAACAGGTTTCATCCAATGATAATTCAGTAAAAATCTTCTGCTTAAGTGAACAGGATCTACGTGGAACTGTCCTTTTGCAACTTCACGAGATTCCAAATAATGAGCTAATATTAGCCTGCTAGGACCGTTGTTTAGGCAGTCGGGTATTCACTAAGAATTGCATCTTAGTCTATCTGACTTCTAAAGTTACCGTAGTCTCCCGGCAACGACTAGGTTACAACAGGGACCCGCAAGCACATAACGGAAATCATCTGAGTCGACAATTTTTTCTCGAACATCTACGAAATGGATATTAAATTAATTTTTTGAACTTTTAATACATCCTAAATCATTTTTTTAAGATAATGTTAATTGCAATTTCCAAAAAAATGAAATATTTTAAATTAAAAATTTCAAAATATTTCATGTTTTAATTTCTTTAAAATTGTTTTTAAAAATTATATTTTACGTTTTAATAATTTATGACAATCCTTTCAAGTAAGTTGCTGCCCATTCAAATTAATTTTCAGTTCAAAATTCGATTTGCATTAGATTTTATTGTTAGGTATATATCGGTTTTCTAAATTTTATAACCCAGAATTATTCTCGGATGAAATCTCGAGATATTGCCATGGTTTTGAAATAGTATTGCAATATATCGTAAATGTGTTTATTTCTTTAAGTAAGTTTCCTGCCGCTGATATATTGTTAAACTTGAAACCCGCTACTGAAGTGTTTTTCTAAATGGTTCCCGCATGGTATTGTTAAACCGAAAACCAAGGTTATATTTTGAATAACACCTTGAAAAGATATCCCTGTGAGCTTTCGAAGAATGCAGTGGAACGCTGATGACTCATCAGTAAATTTGTATGTTTATTTGTTTTTTTTGTAACTCAGAAATTCTTCCCAGCAAACAAACTTAAAATTTGAAAATGCATCATGCATAATCATAACACGAAAACTTCTGGAAGTGTCGAATAAAAATCCAGCGTGAGAGCGGCTATCATTTAGCAAGCACAATGTCGTCTATCGTTTAAGCTTGTATATCGCGAGCCGGTTGCCGCACTGTCAACTCCTAACATCAACAGAACTTTTCTGAAAAAATTTAGAGCTGCTCGTTTGCAACTTCGCCAGTTAAAAATGGTGTGAAAAGTTTTCGTGTCCCAAGTTGCAAAACATATTAACTGCATTTCTTTCACGCATGAACATTTGAATATTTTCAATCGTCTCGCGTGGAACACCTCCTATGTTGATAGTATTGCAGTTGTGGACTAGGCGAGTTATGCAGTTTGCGCACTGTGTGATTATTCAAAAAATGCCAGTTTTCATTTGATTTTCGTAAGTCACTTATTCCAATAAACGAACAAGATGAGGTGTGGCCATTTTGTCTGCGCATCCATCCCAAACGACCAACAGGGACAATTTTTAGGCTCTGTGTAGTACTCGATAGCCTTCATTTAAAAAGTTTTTACAAAATCAGTTTGATTTAAGAAAATAAACGCAAGTACGTTTTAAAGGTTACTCTGGGAAACCTTACTATACAAAGTCTACGGAACCATGCAACAGCCAACCTGGGAAGTTGATAATAACTCCGAAAGAAGCTTGTGGTTAACCAACTGCGTCTTGAGGAACGATATGTTTGAGTTTAACGTATCCGCACGTCTTTGTTATGAAAATAATAATTTTATTGTTGGCCCGGAAGTACTGATTGGCTGTTGCTTGAAACGGCGACTGCACTGTGAGCGTGAACGATGTTTTACCTGTCCCACTTCGCATTCTTATTGTTTATCAAAATGCATTGCTCTATTTATTTTCAGTAAAAACTAAAGATTTGGGAAGCACAGTTGACTATTTCTGAACTATTAACGGAAGGCGGAGCCGCAGGCGACGCCGAGCTGCGGCGCGAGTGGAGCTCGCGGAGCAGCAAGTCAGACATCGAATTTGTGGATATAAGGAAACATTAATAAAATAATTCCCAGTGTCTGGCGTGGTCAACCTGTTCAGGGTGCGGGTACGGGGTACCTGTAATCTAGGCACGCGCAAAAAATAAATAAAATCTGAAAATATAAACTAGATACCACCAAAATTAGTGCTTACCGATATTTATTAAACAAGTTTTAAGGAGTTTCAAAACAATTAACAGCACAAAAAATAGCACACCGATTACCATAATTTTACGTTCTCTTATAAGTGACCGTCAGTAAAAAATATGGAGATATATGCCATATATATTATGAAAAATACGGATTGCTGCTGTTTAGGTAGGCGCGATTCAAGTACCACATAACCTAAACGTTTCTGGATTATTTGCAACTTTTTCGTTACAGGGAATGGGGTTGGAAGGGTTTGTATACGTGTCAGCCTGATACTATAAAACACATTTAATGTAATTGAAACAATCGAAATTTAATTATACAAGTAGCGGTTGGGCTTTGTGCTACGTTTGCGGTATTATGGTTGTAATAATTCAGTCATTTTAGCATTTTACAACATGGAATGGTGGTGAAAATCGTGTGGAAAGACGTTACGCAAACTTGAATTCCGCCGTAGTGCTGCAATGGTACCGGGTAGTAGCTTTTTGTGCAGCGGAGGAAATTAATAGTGTATGATACTGCATGCTTTAAATGTAAACATGCATTTGAAGAAAAAATCATTGATTATGAATTTTGCGCTACGTTTAGTGTAAAAATTAAGCGTAAAAGTATTCCAGAACAAATAACCTTAAAACTAGTCTTTAAATCACGTAAGTAAGGTTAGTTAGTTTTACAGTAGTTCGTTCAATTTCTTCCGCGCAAATTAAGGAGGACAAATCCACGGACGCGAGCCCGTGGAAAGGATTTGGAAAGGAAATTGCCATGGAATTCCATGGAATCCGTGGATTTACGGAAATCCAAACGGATTTCCGTAATTCCAAGGATTTCTTAGTTTTCGTTGGAAAACCGTTATTTAACTATCTATTTACATAACTATGAACAAAAAATCATTTTGATTAACTTCAGCTGCTTAATTACTGCGCATTCGTCATTAAAAACTTCATTTGAAACTCCAAACACATTAAAGAAACCTAAACATTTACTATCTGCCTATCATAAACCAAGGCAGACTGGCAGTAATATGCTGCTGTAGTATAGACTGTATAGTATAGTACCGGTACGATTTACGAATACTGTCGGCCATGCATACGCAAGTTGAAGAAAGCGAAAAACAACATCAAAAGTCGGCAGATTGTAGATTGTTAGCTACTGAGCGCTGCCGTTAGATATCTCCGTATCATCCTTTCCAAGAAGATGACTTTGATTTTTCTCTTGTTTTGGTCAACTTAAGTATACGGTTTCATATTTTGACTTACTTTGATAGAAAAATTAAAAATGATTGAACTCGAAATTTCTGAATTCTGCAAATGTTGAAGAGCGGTTCCTTTACGTTGCAGCCGGTCGAATTTCTGTCCTCTGTTTGCTCTTTTATGGATTTTTGTAAGTTCATGCTTCGAATTATTATATGAGCTAAGTTTTTCTAGTATATTTGTTTTGCCAGAAAATCTGAACACCAGGTGACCGAAATATGCAAATTTTTGAAGAAGGACATTGTTTTCTCTCGGATAGATCAAGCAGACTTCCTGACCTATTGAGAATACAAAAGAAATAAAATAGAAACAGTAACTATAGAAACAATAAAATAGAAACGCTATTTTCAAAATAAATCGTTTGAGACCGGAAGACGAGGTAATGCAAAAATTTGCAGCCGCCTGTCGAAAAACAACACGAAAAATGTTTTGTTTTCATTGTTTTTCCCTGACATTTCTATGCGCTTGGAATTCCAAATACAGGGAATCTGGAATTCCAAGCAAAAATTGGAATTCCACGGATTTCCTAAATTCCAATTTCCAAATCCGAGCCGCCCGCGAGGAGTGCGGATTTGGAAATTGGATTCCATCCGTGGAATTCCATTTTCCTTGGACGGTCGTTCCTTAGCGCAAATGGACTGCCAGTTTTTCTTACAAGTTTTTGCCGCTTGATAGGTGTCAACAAAACATGCCAGTTTAACAATTCAATTTAGCTTACACATCGCTCTTGCAAGAAAAAGATCGAATCAGGTTAGCTTTTAAATCGTTGGTCAGGGATTGGCTTTCCAAAACTTACTTGCGCATTTCACGAGCTTTAATTGTGCGAAGTTTCTGTTATTCCGTGCACTGGACAAACACGGCTGAAAAGAAGCAATTTTCTAATTTTGGAATGTGTAATTTTAGTTTCCCGCTTCCAGGACATCATCGAAATCTATCCAATTTTTCAAATTAATTCTTAAAGAACTTCGTTCTTGAGATAATCTTGGTTTGGTTCAAGATATGCGTGTTGGAAACACATATTTCACACACATATGTACGCCAAAATGTGTGGCACATTTTGGCGTACATCCGCAAATACATGGTGAAACATTTTGGAGCTGCTAAATCCGAGTCATACGATCATTTCTACGATGCACTCTATGCCAAAAACGATGCCGAATTTGAAGATCACTGGGCAAAAATTCAAGAAGCATTACCGGACGATGCGGTCGAGTATGTGACCAAAAACTGGTATGATTCGCGTCACATGTGGAGCCTGGCATACCGGCGTGGATTTCGACTGGTGTGAAACAACACAAAAAATTTTGTGGAAGCTTTCTTCAGAGCGGTGAAGGCAGCGATTCGAGTTACCAGGCGCATAAGACCGCATCTAGCAGAATGCATCCGGATACTCTATGAATTTTCCTGCGAATCTTTTAACAGCATATCACACTAGAATCCGTGGAAAGGGTAAAAAAGGTGGTACGATTCATGCAAATGGATGGATTTTATAGAGCAAACCTTTCGGTGCACGTAGCAGTACAGCAACTTAATAAATTTTCTGGTTGATCTTGTAGTTGAGCAGTTTTACTTTGAGCGTCATGTATTCTCGATGTTCTGGTCAACTTTTTTTGAAGGCTCATACATAATAAACCTGATTTTAAGCGCTTATAGCCCTCAAGATAGCTTTTATATCCATCAAATCTTTTAATTTGCCTTTTTCTTCGCTCAAGTACCGGGCTCAAAATACATTAAGTGTGCATTGATTCCTGCTGATTACAAGTTTTGGTGTTACAACCATTGTAAACAAGCCTCCAGGTGCTTTGGTTTTTTGATTAATTGATATCAGTCGGAAATTTCTGAGGCGAACTGCCTATCGGCTAGGACATACATGTACTTTATTCCTATAATTAATTAATCAGCGTTACAAAAAAAGGCACGAAAACAATTAAACCGGTTTGAAAACTGCGTTGCGAATGGACTAATGCCTTATAATCTAAAACATTCGATTACGTAAATCTAGTTGCGCGTCTTTGCGAAAGCATCTGTACATAATAGTGCTATCACTGCAGATAGCGTGTTTTGTATTAAAAAGATGCTAGAAATTCGACTTCTTATACTTTGGTATTGTACAGGTGTCACCAACCAATGCCGCTTTACAGTAGTACAGACCAAATTGTTTATTGCCGAGTAAAAAATTCGCTGTGCTATTTTATAGGGCACTGCATAAGCACTTATATGAGTACCATAATTATCGAAATTGTGGCACCTCTCGCAATATTCGCACCCCCTGTAATATTAAGCGCCCTCCCCATACATGTTCGAAAAATAAGGGCGCCGAAAAAGGGCACGAAAAGGAGGGTATAGTACGAGTTTAAAATGTACTACAGAATGTACTGCACGTTGTGCTACAGAATGTACACTGTAACGTACTACAGACGCAAGCTGGCATAATTTGGTAATGTTGCAAGATGAGTGTGTTTAACGAGTTTTTTTTAACATAAGAAAACCTAAGAATCTTAAGAAAACTTCTAAATACAAGAAGACTTGGAAATCTGAGGAACTGAAGACACTGTTCCCAAAAAAACTGCGAAAGTCCTGTTCGTAACGGTGGTTGGCCACTTGAACACGGCCAATCCGCACTGCGGCTGTGGATAGACACATCTGCCTGTGATTTCTGGCTAAGATTGGTTAGACACAGAAAATTTTTTCGCAGGTGGGTGTGTTTTTATGGAGGGCGCTGTTCCAGCATCCCTTACCTGCCGCCCCCACCGTCGCCGATAAGTATTATCTCGGCATGCGGGTGTCAAACGCCTGATTCCGGATCAGTGCACCACCATTCGGAAGGAGGCTCGCCGCGAGCGGGATGCCGGGCTGCTGTACCGCCTGCTGACGCTGCTCAGCGACATTCCGACTCAACTCAAGGATTTTAAGCATTCATTTTTTGTGCGTTGGATGCGCTGATGGAGATGTGCTGCCGGTTGTGGTGGGCGGGGAGGGTCTGCTGCAGTTGGGCAATGGTATGCTCTAGAGTATGGGCCGATTACAGTATGTGGCCGGCGACGGTGCAGCGGCTGGACAGGATTAATCCGGCGCAGAAACCAGTGGAGTTGCCGGCGATCAAACCGATCCCAAAGCCCGAAGGGTTTAAATTGCAGTTTTAAGTTCATAATGGAAGGGTGATTTTTTGTGCTTCTTTTGCTTGGTTTGTGGTCCAGTGTTCCGTGAGTCTTTGAATTTCAGTTGAAAATGTCGATAAAAGTATGAATCGTCGGATAAGCAGCATTTTATGAAACATAAATACTTAAATAAAACTGAAGAAAATCGGCGAAATTACAGCACCGGGTGCTCTTATTAAATGTCAAGCCCAATAAGCCGGTAATAAAAGTCGATAAACGGTCAGAAAAACGAGGCGGTGAAAGTTGGCAAGCAGTTGCATTCAGTCTTTACAGATACAGTACCGGGATGCAGCGCGAAGCTTATAGCTAGCATCGCCGTATACCCGGTAACCAGTGGCAACCACTGCGTTCAGTTTTAGAGCAGGATGTGCTGCTGTTTAAAAAAATTAATAGTAAAAATAATGGTCCCTCTGAAATTTATTGTTTAAAAAATAGTAGCACCCCCCGGAATAATCGCACCTCCGCGCAATAAGCGCATAAGTTATAGTACTGCAAAAGCCGAGCCGCAAGGTTGGCCCGCCATCGTCGACTCTCACTTCGTCGAACAGACACGACGTCGACTCGTCACGGCGTCGAACTCACGTTTTGTTAAATCACCTCAGTTTTCTTAGGTTTCTTAGGGGTCTTAGGTTTTTCAGATTCTTAGGGTTCTCAGTTTTCTAAGGTGAAATGTTTCTGTGAAATGAAATGCAGAGCATGAGTGAGTGTTGACTGTTGAACGTACCTTGCGAGCTCTGTTTGGTACATCGTAATAAAATCCGTCCATTCGATCGGTTGGACGGACTATTTGGAAACCGGTCGTCCTACAATTTCCATTTACTCTATAAATGACCAGAAATAAATCACCAATGTTTTTTTCTACATTAAATGTTTCTAAAGTTGATGTCGTCGCAGATACAAGCGCATAGCGAAGGCGTCCATTTCCAGCTTCTCTGTGTGCTTTGGACAGCGGGCGCTACAGTACTCTTACCTTATAAAGCGCGATTCCCGAGAAAATCCAGTTGCGTCAAACGTTATGCACTGCGAAACTTTCCATGGTCAATAAAATCATTTTGCGCTGTTTTCGCCTTGTACCGTTTTTAACCGTCGTTCTTTTATAACTTGTAGTAATCTGTACTAGAGCAATAAGAATGTTAGGCACCACAAATAACCAATTACAATGTAGGACACCTAAGCTACTATTATAAGTTATTGGCTGGTTGTTAAGATATACTGTCAAACTATTCTTAATCGACACCTGGACATTTTATTTTATTGGTTATCATGATAATTGCCCGACAAGACCGTGCTTCATAATTCCGAACACATTCAGATTCCAAATTCAGCGACCCATTTCTGAACAGAAAGAAGTTCATCATGGCACGTTAGTCAAAATCAATGTGTCCGTGGCGCTTTTTGTGACGACAAGCGATCTTATGGTTGGGTTTTATTAGTTGTATTACATGTATGCCATGCATAACCTCATAATTAAATGTAAATTGAATTACCGTTTGCATTCCTTCCTGCGTTCTCCATGTAGTGCGTAGGCGCATATATAATATCACCCCGACTCGAGTGCTAATCATGGAAGCGATAATCACTTTGGCATAATTCTGGCAGCAGCATTTGTGGAGCCGCGTATAAACTCCGAGTACATATCATCACCCGGCCCACACACAAATGCTGCCACCAGAACCCCGTGGGTCCGAGCGATGGGGTGTTACGCAACGGCCTGAACAACTGCGCCCGATCTCGGCCAATTATATGGCAAAAAACGCTCTCAACCCGGGAGAGGTAGGCGCGCGCCCAGTGCACCTATACTCGTACCCTCACTACGGGGTACAGTTCTCGTATGAGCAGTAACCTCGTTCAAAACTGCGAACCCTCTCCGTAAAATACCGTGCAACGATCCGGTATCTTGTACGTAATTGTGTTCTTTTAGGTTAGCGTTTGGTAGTCGGTGCAGTGCCATTAGCTAACGCCATAAACCTATCCTCAAAACGAAGAAAATGGCTACTCGTACTTGTCACGTAACCGCCAGCTGGTGGCGGATTCTGCCGACCGAGTCGACTTCCGTTTCCGTCAAAATATCAGTTTTATTATTATGCGTACAACAAATATTCACTGGGGCATTCTTCTACAGCAAAGAAAAGGCACGTGCTTCAAAATGGAAGCAGAAGAATTCCAATGCATTCAATACTGAGGAAAATAAAAAGGTCAGTTTCAACCGAAAAGAAGATAACTGACATTACGCACCCATTTGTCGCCGGACTGATCGCCTTGTTGTTGGATCTCGTTTTGAGGTGCACGGGCCGTGACGTAGAGTGCCGAGTATCTGACTCGGCATAGCCTGGGAGGGGCTATCGGATCGGGCCAGGTTGGGCCAAGAGTTGCAACCATCCTCGCACTTCCACGGTTGACGCGACACTTAGGCTTGGCCACGTAGACCGTTGTGCTAGAGATGATAAAAACCAGTGCGCGTTCATTAACGGTTGGATTTTTTTCCCTTACGATTTTCTTTTTCGTAAAATGGAAATAGCTTCCCTAGCCCATTTTATCCTAGGGGCTGTCGTCATGGATGGGTACCACCGGGCCACCCGACTGTGGCAAAATCTGCGCAACATGGGAAGAAGGGTTCGAGATTGGATAACAACAAAATATAGAAGAACAGTATGTTTTTCTATATTATGTCATCATCCTTTAACGAAAACGTTCGTAGGTGCGAGGTCCCGCGCTGCCATTCCCGAGAGAAACTGTGTGATACATGAATTTGCCTCCCACCATCCAGATTCTGACGGAATTAGGAGGGGTTTCCTTTTGGGATATCTTCACCTGCTAATTCGTTTTTTTTTATTTATAACGCAATCTCCATCTTACATACTGTGCTTAAGTTTCTTATAGAAGCCCACCTTAAACAAACTCGCAATTATATGTGGGGAAAATAACAACTGAAAACAAGGCACATATTCGCCTGAGCCATATGTATCAGCTAAGCCATATCACTGAGTACACTGAATTCTTATGTTCTTCGATTTCTTATGTAACTGTGTGTTCTGAGCCGTGACTGTGTTTTGAGATGGTTTCTTTTAGAGGTTTCTGTTCGGATACCAAAAACCAAAATTTCATGGTACGTGTAACGGTAAATAAATTGCTCCGTTTTCCTTAAAAAATGCCCGCCACAGCTTATATTGGTAGTAACACCGTGCTCTAGCCGTACAGGGACGGCATATTTACTGGAACTAAAACAGGCTTACGTAACTACCTAATGTACAGCTTAGGACAAAATGGTCGCATACCCAACATCTCCCGAATGCAGCGCAGTGCACTGTACGACTGAGTTCAAAATATCCGTTTCGTACAAGTGCACTGCACCGCTTGCGTACAGAATGCTGGGTATGGGGCTATGCGACCATTTAGTCCTACATTGTACATAAGTACAACGATAATTATGGTCCATGGGATACGTTAAACACCAACTTGCCTGGCCCGGAAGTAGCGCACTGTTGCCAAGGACGGTCTTGATTTCTGCGGTAAATCCTTCAGGTCGTCCTGCCAGCATGCCAGTCATCCAGGGCGCTCTGTTCTAAGACTTTATCGTGGACTTAAGAGTTCTTGTTTTTTTTTCCCCACTGATTTCCAATTAAACTTGAGCGAAATTCACACGAATCCTTCCTTGATTTATTCGCCAATATCAGAACTCTTCCTACTCGTAGCCAGATCTTTGACAGCCGTATATGTCTCGTTAATGATAGCCAGAAACATGGCCATCTCCTGCACGAAAAAAACGAAGACGTTTTAGGAAAAGAAGAAAATCGGCCGTAAAACGCGGTTAACGGTCTGCAGCTGGTCGAAATCCAAGTCATCCAGAAAGACCAGAAGTAAGGTCATGGCTGCACTCCCAGTATCGCTGTATCCTTCCAGCTAGACGTAAAACAGAGACAATCAAATGAGTACCCGTAGAGACCTTCAAGTGGCCACTTATGTTAAGTCAATGGGCGACATACCTTCAAGTGGCCAGGCATCAGTTACTTTGTCCCAGAACCGATTTTCTTCCAGTTTTTTGGTACAGCATGTTCAGCACAACTTGCTCTTTACGGAGTACTTGAAAATTTTCAAATCGATTAAGCCGTGTTTTAGTTATTTAAGTTGTAAAAAACCTTTGACGAAACGCTGGAGCCACGCCACGAGAGCCACTACACTACGCTGACTTATTTCACTCATCAACCACACATGTTGCTGCTGCAGCGAGTACTCGATTTACGTGTGCGGATATGAGCACACAAGCAACCGGGATCAAACTACGTTCCTAAAAGACAATTACAAATAACAGAAAATCACAAATCAAAATTTAAACATCACAGGTTAGTGAGCATGCAAAAATCACAGGTTAGTAAACACTGCTTAGCAATACGACAAGAATGATTAAAAACCCTTTCCATACTTGTTCCGAGTCTGGCGTAAGGTTTTTTAGGCGTGTGCATAAAGTTATTCGCGAGATCGCGCAGATTTTTCAAGCTTCGCTTACAGAAACACCGTTTTCTTTTACGTCAGCGCAGGTTCGTAGAATACGTTTTTCATTGTACTGCTTCACTTTCGCTTCTTACTCTCACAATTCTCAACACAAGTCACTGTAATAGGTGAATTTAACTCTTCTGGGCTGGACTGAGACGGACACTGAGAACCCGGAAACCCAAAAGAAAGTATTATGCTGCAGGATCTGCATGAAATTTTTTAAAAGTACTTACTCGTAATTATACAGTACTTGTTAAACTGCGTGTCACGCAAGTCGCCGGTTCAAAAAGCGGGTAGTTTGTTAATTTTCGCGCAAATCGGGAAGCTAACGATCGATTACGCAGCAAAAACTGCTAGAAACTACTAAAAAAGTAGAAATAGTTCTAGCTTTTTGGCAGCGAAATCTAAAGGGCGTGTATTAAGGCTGTATCATGTATAGAGTCTACGCTCTACAGAAAGCGTAAACTTTAGCACGAAGCTGATGCAGTTTTGTAACTGCGGAATTACTAGTAATTCTATAAAAAAAAACAGTAAAATATTGCTAATTGTAGAAAAGAAAGCATTGTAGAAAATGATGAACTTTATGCCTATTTCGTGCGGGAATCCAAAATCCATGCATGAAAGTACAATAAAGAGCTACTTTCGCGCGGAGCTAAAAGTCGGTTTTACTGAAAAATCGCTACAGATTCAACGAAAAATAGTAAATTATGCGGTTTTATGCCAAATCTGTTATAATTCTTAAGCAATACCCCCACCTTACTTTTCGATAGTTCCCACTTTTAAAAAATTCCGAGGGGCACGTGCTCCCGTGCGCCTCCTTAAACTCGCCAATGGGACTCACAGCTGTTGTCTACGTAATAGGAATGATCTGTTTTTCTATGTATCAAAAGTTGAGGCCTTTATCATTACCAATGAAACATTATGTGACGTACACGGAATCGGGGCATTTCATAATGACTATCGCTTCAACGCTCGGGAAAAGGCGCACAATAGGTCGTACTGTGCATTTCACCAAACCAGAGACTGGCGCATGACCTTGACATGACAATAAAAATAATTGCGCGCAAAAGTCAAAGGGAGGTAAGCCAAAATGCGGCAAAAAAACGTTTTAACAAAAGCTCTTCCCGACACAACCAGACACTGGTGCTGGGTGTCCGATTCCTTTAACGCTCTTCTAAACAACCAAGCAGTTTCAAGAACAGACCGATGCAGCTGACGGATGTACCCCGCTGTAGTCTAGCCGGTATACGAGTGAAACGGCGACGCATATGGGTGCATTCCACGCACCGCGTCATTCCATAATCCTTACGAAGCGTTTGGCTTCGTACAGGTACTCTGTAGTAGTTTAACTTTCATACGTACAAGGCACTTAATATCAAAAAGCATTTGTTGTATTATCTGAATTTCGTGTTTTCCCATGGATTTTTCTTTTGGAATTCTAGACCTTTTTGTGGGAAGCGGTTACACATTTTTCGAAGCGCTACCGGGAGTTAGTAAGTAAAAGATTCTAAAAAATGTATGATGTAGCAATTGCCAGGCAAGATGGGACCACCGAAAGCGTTTTTGGAGTTATGTCGGTCCTTGATGACATTTGGAAGGGTCCGCGGATGGTCCAGTGGAGGCAAAAGTAATATACTAATACATATTATGGTAAATGCCAGTACTGCATAATAATAGTATGCAATACTATGTACTCATTTAATTGATGTTAGACCACGCCCAACTGACCTTTGCCGGTAGTCTACTACCTTTTTACCAATATGGAAATTTTTTTAAATTTGGAGGCGGAAATAATGCCCTGGTGAATATCTTGTAACTTGGTCGGAAACCTCAAGTACTAGTACTACAAATTAGCATTCCCTACCAAATGATGGCGAATAAACTGAGATTTGCGTTGTATTTTGGAAGGTCAAGGAACACTGTCCCGATGCCTTTGCTGAGCCATCGGTGTTGCCGCATTTGTTTTGCGATATCTACGGTGCCGTTTTTCATAAATTGAGGATTTTTACAAATCTACCGTCATGGTAAATGGCAGTGCGCAGCGAGTGAAGAGTTTAACACTGGGGTCTTGGTCCATCTAAAATCTGTCTAAAGTCACACTCATCCTTTTTGTCCATAATGTGTTGTACAAAATAAGAGTACGTATTAAGAGTACACAAGAGTACATAATAAGAGTACATAGAGAGGATAAAATATAAAATTGCGTACGTGGTCAGTAATTCTATGTGTACACACGTTACGTTCGTTCCTCCGAATGGAAGTTGGTCCTCAGCCGACTTGAAGAAGTGATTAAAACAAAAACAAATTTTGAAATTGTTCCGGAATCCCAAAGCTTCCATTGCGAACTCGCTGCTGCTGCATCCTTGGCACGCCCAACAATTTATTGTGATAAAAGACGTAATTCGCGCGGGGATTAAATCGATCATATTATGGGCCTCTGGCGAACATCTGCAAACAAAACAGATTTTTGTACTTATATGAAGTGTGTAATATTGATTATTGGGAAACTCACAAAGTGTCCGGTATGTCTGGGCGATTCGGTTCAGGAAGTTCCATCAAATCTTCCAAAAACAATACTTTAGAAAACTTCGTAATAATAAAATTTTAAAAACGAGTGTAGTTTTGACATTCTTGGGAACAGGAAAAATATCACCCATGCAATATCCCTAAGGAAAAATATCGTATCGTATGGGCCATGCTTAATGCTAGATAAACAAATGCGTGTATACGTAGCGAAGTATACATAATATTATGTTGTAGGTACTATGTTATTGCAAAACCGTACCTCGTCGACTGAAGCGAAGCGAAGGTCTTCTGTTTGGGTCACTTCAGGGATTATGGATAATGTGGTGCCCGTACGTCGGCCACCGCCACCAAATGCACATAGGCGCACTAACGATACACATATACGCCACGGCCGTATATACTCACACCAGATGTAACTATATATGTTTTGCCGTGGTAACCGTGGTATCTTTTGCTGCATTTTATTAAGAACTTTCGCCAAGTCAAAATTTTATTTACAGTACTTACTTTGGAATACTGTAGCCGCTCCATGAGAATGCTCTACAGAGTGTGGAAGGAAAGACGTCACGCTGCTTGGTATTTTGTGTAACGTGTGCGATGTCGGCATGGCCTAACAGCGGTGTAATCTCACTGAATGGCTACGCACAGCATTCTAATGTGTAAGTTTTCGGAAGTCCCAGTTAACTGTCACCTCACGTTTTAAAATTTTGGGTCTTACCAGCAAAGTACAGTAACCGCTATCACGTCAGGTGATGAGAAAATAATAAGCCAAAATGCGTACCCGTAACGGTGTAACC